CAAAGCAAAAGGAGCAAAAAGGCGAAGGAGGAGCAGAGGCCCGGGTCCTGTGGACTCGCCTGGGCTGGGGGTGGGGACACTGAGAGGGCTGCAAAGGCTCCGGGGGGTCGCGCGTGGCCCCCGGGCTCACCCCTGGCTCTCGGCTGCCCTTCCCTCCCCTTCCTGGGCTCCGGGCCCCTCTCAGTGCAGTTCCTTTCTCCTCCCCTCGGGCCCTCTCCCCTCTCCTCTCCGAAGCGGGACTCAGTCCTGGGGATTAAGAGAAAGGAGGGAGGGGAAAGGGGAGGAGAAGGGAAGGGGGGGAGGAGAAGGGAAGGGGTGGAGGAGAAAGGGGGACGATCCTTCCAAAGGCGGGTGTTGAGTTTCAGCTCAGGACCCTCGGGTCCAGCTGCCTGTTCCCACTCCCCCCGCCCCCCCACCCTCCTCGCCTTCGCCCCAGGCCCCAGTCCCCCAGCGCCTTCCTTCTCCAGACTCCTCGGCTGGCCTCGATCGCGGTGGTCTGGTCTGGTCGGCTCCCTTTGGGAGCTTTCCTCTCCCTGCCACGCCCCCGTCTCCCCACCTCCCCCCGCAGCCCCACGCCTCTCGGCCTCCCTTTTCATTATCCCCACATCTGTCTTTCCCATGGGAGGGAGCGCGCGCCTTCCGCCCTGCGGGGCCTTTAGCGGAGCCTCTCGGCTTCTCAGTGCCTCCGTTGCAGGGCTGCAGGTTTCGCTGGGCCGTTCTTGCAGGGCACAGGTGGGGAGTCTAGCGCTGGACATGGATTCTCGCCCTGGTGACAGAACAAGAAGCTGGGCGTCTGGCCCCAGAGCTGCAAGCGGGCAGGTTGTGTGGTCTCTTACACTCCTCTGCCAGTCTGGGCCTGCCGGCCTCCACAGCCTGGTTCACTCTTGCTGCTAGGAGGAGAGAACTGGGGACCGCAGACACAAAAGTTGGTAGAACTCTTCCAGAGGGGCTGAGATCTAGCCCCCGAGGAGTTTCCATTGAAAGGACGTTGCTCCCCGCCCCTACACCTCCTCTACCCTGGGATAACTCCTTAATGTGTGCTGCTTCCCTGGACCTTACCTTTGGGACACACACATCAGGGCCTGTCAGGCTTGAGTGAAAGCCTGCCTTCCTCCATTTTTGAGGTTCCTGGTATTTAAAAAGCAAGATGCAGAACAGGACTGAAAGATGTGGTATATTTTGGATGTTGACATTGAGCAAATTAACGCTTCAAACACATGCAATAGAGAATGACTGGGTGCATTAGCTTATTTGGAGATAGGATCAGAAATGTAATACAAGGCCCTTGGTGAACTTGAGGCTCTGGTCAGATACCCCTTCCTCAATATTCCATAGGCCCACTCATCTAGGCATTTCCTAGGACAGTATGGCTGGGACACCTGCCCCAGCTCCTTCCCCACTCTATTGCCTGGGCACCTGTGAATAACCCTCTGTGGGAAGGGTTGGGTGGAGCCTAGGGGGTGGAACAGGGAGAGATTCTGGGATAAACATGGGGATGGGGATGAACTGTGTTGGCTCTAGGCTGGCTTTTGGTGATGGAACAGAATCCTGGATAGATTCCAACTCCACTAGGATGGTAGAGGAACTTTTAAATTTCTAGGGAGAGCTCCCAGCTTCAGTTTGGTTGGAGGTGGCCACTAGGGAAGACTTTCCAGCCAGGCACACAGACATCAGCTGCTGGGGAGTGACTTGGTGTGATCTCTGCCCAAGGGACTGCCAGGAAAATTGGGGTCCAAGGTGGAGGTGGGCAGGAAATCCTGTCTTCAAAAATGAATGCTTTGACTGGGTTGAGGGGAAATAGATGGAGACCAGAAAAGGCTAAGCAGGACGGAAGCTGCTAGGACCAGGCAAGGTGATAGGAGATGGGCAGGCAGCTTCCCTGGGAAGGGTAGAAGAAGGACAGTGAGGGAAAACGAGTGGGAAATAAGACAGCTTCTGGAATACCCAGGTGTGGAATGGAGCCAGCCAGAGTCACGAGTGAATCCTGCTTAACTAGCAATGTGACCTTGGTCCAGTTAAAGGGCTTGTGAATCTCAGTTCCTCCTCTGTAACAGTGACTTTCCTGAGGAGTAAGCTTATGTAGATTGCCAGGCACAGTGCTCTTCTGTGGCTTTTCCTCTTTACCCTGGCTCCCCCTCTGACTTGTGCTTTCCTGAAAGCTGAAAGTGTTCGTTGTTGAGGGCAGGAGGAGCTCCTGTCCTTATGCCATTATTTCTATGCTCTCCTTTGCAAACAGGTTCAAGGCGATTCTGACTTGTTCATGGAGAGCTCTAGGCTTCAGGAGAGGTTGGAGAAGACCCAGGCTTGGAAGGTAGCTGAGACCCTGGGTGGGTGGCAGCCTCAGACAGCAGGTCTTCAAGGTTCGCCCTTGCTATATTCAGGGAGAAGAAAGGAAGAAACCCCTCCATCTGGCTTCCTGGGTACCAGTCTTTACTCCCATTCTTTCCCCTTCCCTGCAGGTCCAATTAGCTGGTTTCTTCCTCACCTGACCCCTACTTGGATAGCAGGAGGAACTTCGTGGTTGTTCACCAGAACTTCTTGGATGCACACCAATTCTTCAGTCCTTCTCTCTTTGGACCCATAGTGCCCAGATTGCCTGGGTCCTAATCCTGGTTCCAACATTGGCTAGTTATCTTGGCAAGTTCTGTGACCGCCTGGACCCTCTGGTTCCTTGTCTGTAAAGTGGGAGTATTAATGGAACTTTTAGCATTTATTTGTTGTGAGAATTAAGAGAATACCAAGAACAGTGTCTGGCCCATGATGTGCAAATTTTGAGCAAAGGCAACCACTATTATTGTTATTGGGTGATGGCCCTGTGGGGGCACTAGAATGTCAAGGACATGGTGTCTGCCCTTAAGAAACATACCATGTAGCTCATGCTTGAATCCAGTCAATACCTTCCCACTGACCCTGGAATAACATTCAGATACTCCATGGTAGCCTGGAAGACCCTATGTGATCTGCTCCCTGCCTACCTCTTTCACTTCACCTCATCTCACTCTCTCCCTTATCTCTTGTTCATCATCTACACTGTCCTTTCTGTTTCTCAAATATGCCATGCTCTTTTCCACCTCTTGGACTTTGCATGTCCTGCTCCCTCTGCCTAAACCACTTCCCCCAGACCCTGTCCATCATCAGGTCAAATCCTGTATATTCAGAAAGGCCTTTCCTGGCTTTCCAAGTCAAAGTTGCCCCTCCTTCCTTTCCCCCACCCCCAGTAACTCCCTACCTCATAATGCTGTTTCATTTTCTTCATAGCACTTATTATTATTATCAGAAATTATCTTCTTTCCTTGTTTATCATCTGTCTCTTCCTAAAACATAAGCTTCATGGAGCAGGGACTTTGTCTGGCTTGTCTTCCTCTGCATTTCTAGCAGTTAGAATAGTGCTTGGAATATAGTAGGTGTGCAATAAATATTTGGTGAGTGGATGAAGGAACAAAAGAAGCCATGACTGTAGGACAAAGCCAAGTAAGCCAAGGGGCCTCCTGGGGAAGGCTCCAGCCCTGGGCTAAAGGCATGGGGTTGTTGGGCTCTTTGTTCTGCTAACTCTGATTCTCCATGTCTCTCATGGGTCTAGAGGTGAGTTCTCTTTGAAAGCTCTCCTGTGCCTAGGCATTTTTGTAGCTAAACCATTATCCCCTACAATCAGAAAGTGGGAGCACTGTTCTGGGGGCCTTCATCTGTGCCAGGTGTTCACTCTTTACTTGCTGGATCATAGGCAGGTATGGTAGGGTGGTGTCCCAAGGCTGAGGGAAGCATCTACTTACCAGTAGGTACATAAGTATTTCAACATTTTGACGTTCAGTGCCCTAGCTTCACGTACAGTGAGTGCCAGTGAGCTTCAATAGACCCTGCTGAGTCCTGTGGATTCAGCGCTATTTCAGGAGGTCTGGAGTAGCTAAGCTGGTTGGCACCTTTGTGGCCATGCAGGTTAATGTTCCCCCCAACTGTCACCCACTCAAATCCACCCACTTCTACCAATGAAGAGGGAGGAGCAGAGAGAGGACCTAAGGTCCAGAGCTAGTCATGGGCAGGGCCAAGTCTTCAAGGCAGCAGGTGGGACTTGCATATCTTCTTGAGAAGTGGCAGGGAAGCCATATTCTCACTTCCTGCAAGCCCCACGAGCCTTTCCAAGCCAAGATTGGAAAGTATATTCCACCACATCTTCCCTGCCCTTTCCAGGCAGGTGCTTCTCTCTTTCCTCAGGGCCGCAGGAACAGGAATCCCAGGAAACTCTCTTCAGCTGCCAGGTCAGGCCTAGGCAGGTGAAAACATGCTGGGAGGGGACCTTGATGTCACGTGCCATGCAGACTTCCCTTTCTTCCTGCCTCCAGCATTCTCCCCATTGCCACCCCCATATCCCCACACCCACAAGGGTTCCCTGGAAGCTGAAGTGACTCAGGGATTCCAAAACTAGTCACCTTAGGGGGAAACCCCTCTGGAAAATGTTTCTCATGGCAGGAAGTCACCCTAAGGAGTCCCACAAAGCTGCTACTGAGATAAGGGCAGGGGGTGAGCAAGTGAGGTGGGGTGGGAGCATGTGGCTCAGAGCACAGGTTCTCAGGTCAGTCCTGGTCATCACAGGGGTGGGAAAAGCCAACCCTTCCTGGAGAGGTTCTCCTTCTGCCCTACAGGGATATCCTAAAGGACTCTTCTGAAGGGAAATGTTCTTGGTGACCTAGGCTGGGTCTTCCCTGCAGTGTCAGCAAATGTAGCTGGGATCACTTCTGGCTCCTTTGAACACCCCCTCCTGGGCAGGGGTCAAGATGGGAGATCTGAGCCAACTCCAGTTCTACTACCTTCTTAGCCCTGAGGTTCTGACTGGTGAGAGTGAGACCCATAGGAGTCCAGCTCTTATGAAATGGCACTGCCTCCTAAGAGCCTGTTCTGGGATTGAGGTTTTCCCAGGAGCACCAGAAGCCACCCTGAGGCCATGCATGCTAGACCAAAGGCTAGGAAAGGGAGCTAGCTCGTGGCTTGATGCCTAAGGGGCAGAAATGCCCCATGGCTTTCAGCAGGTTCAGTTGGAACTTGTCCCAACCCAAGCCCAGGTGAGTAGGAAAGCATTCGCTGTGGGGCTCTCCTTCCATTCACAGACAGCTGGGGGTAGGCACGGAGTGGCACTTCTGTGCCAGGAGGTTAGATGTGAAATTGGTCAGAGCTGGAATGAGAAACCAGCTCAGCCTCTTTCTTTGTGACCTTGAGCAAGTTATTAAATTTCCTTGGGCCTCAGTTTCCTCATCTGTAACATGGGTATAATAGTTTCCATGTCATGGTTTCATTGTAAGGATAAAATGAGATGATGCATGTCCAGGGCTTAGCACCATGCCTGGCACATGTAAGTGTGCACAGGAGCTGAGTCCAGCAGGATACGGAAGGGAGACGACGTCTGGGAGTACAGTGGGTAGAGGGTGGGACAGTGAGAGTGGGGCCATGATACTGGCCTCATAACTCTTTCTGAGTGCCCCTGGTCTCCCAGACACCACCTGTTTCTTTTAAGTGCCCCCATCCCACAGTTCCAGGTGTCCCAAGACTCACCAGAGCAGAGCAGCTTCTCCCAATTTTCCGGATTGCCCTCTGACCTCATCACTCCTCTCTTTTGGGGCTGCTTGGCCCTAAACCACTGGAAAGTTTCCCCCTCACTCTGCAGTTTAAGTTATTCCTGGTTCCCTTTGTTTATTTCCTGAGTCCTTTGTTACTAGAGGAGTATTTTCTAAGGGAAAGCACATGCAAATCAAGCTGCATCATTCTAGGGGCAATGTCTGTGTATGCGTATGTTGGGTGGGTGTGGGGGATGAGGGGGGCTAATAGGCAAGTGTGAAGAGAAGGACCTGCAGGGAAGGACGTGCTGCCCACTCTCAGCACAGTGCCTCCCAAGCAGGCAGGACCCGGCTGACCTGTTGTGTCTTTGGGGTCAAGCCCATCTCTGAGCCTTTCTAGGGCACACATCCTCCCTCCTGGCTGACAGTGGTCCATATTTCTGGGCCTGCTGAGGCTGAGTGGGCTCACTTTATGGCCTGGGAGCAGTAGCTGACCCTGTCATGGGCTTGGTCCCCCAGACTCTGTGAATGAGAGCTGGTTGGTCTCTGGAACTGAGACCTCCTTCCTGTTGGTTCTTAGGTGAGGTTGTTTCAGTTCCCCTCCTCTTCCTTGCTTCACCTTCTCATTTGTGCAATGGGAACACTCACCCACAGCTTCTTCCATCAGACCTTGCCCATCCAGCCAACAAATTCAGGAAGTCAGGGCCTTCCCTGCAGCCCTGTGAGGATAAGCTTGTATCCCTGATGGAGGACAGTGACTGGTGAGGGCAAGGGGGTGTTACGAAGTGAGTCATAGACAACGGGGGAGAAGTCATAGATGTTGGGGGTCATAGAAGTTTGGGGTCATCGAAAATGCAGAAGAGGCCAGAGAACCAAGGGGATGGAAGTCAAAGGATATCTAAGGGAAGGGAAATAATCACAAAGGTGGGTATCAGGAGGACATCTGAGAAGAGGGGAATGGTAACACCAGATCCTGGATGGGAGCAGCAGGGATCAGTGAAATGAGGCCTCTTGAAAGGAGGCCACAGGGAAATTCCCATAATGCCAGTTCACAACAGAATAGCAGACCGCTACTGCTCTGACCCCATGCCCGGAAAAGTTCAAAGAGCAAAGTTTACCCAATCAGCTACCAGGCATATAATGATGGTCATCACAACTTCCATGAGTATTGCATTTTAAGCAGCCTTTGGAAATACTTTCACGGTTTTTTGTTTTGTTTTGTTTTATAATCTCAAGTCACTCCCTAAAAAGATAGTGGAAATAAATTTGAATAAACAAAACAGGTTTGCTGAAAATAAAACCAGGACTCCTAACCTGCTCTAGTTAGCCTGCTTCCACAAGGCCTGTCAGCCAGTGCTCCACCTGTGACAGAGTGAGCAGTGCCCAGCATGTACCAGGCCAGTGCAGAGGGCTGCTGGAGGGCTGTGCTGAGAGGGAGAGGAGCAGAGATGCTGCTGAGGGTGGAGGGAGGCCAGGCTGCCAGGTCTGGGGCTCGGGGCCAGGTGGAGTGAGAAACTGGGATTCCAGGGGGAGGGCACAGCTGAGGGGGCAACCCAGGTTAGGTAAGAACAATTCTCTCAGTAGCCTTTTCCTACAGGTGGTTACATTCTTGGCAATGGTCATGGGAACCCACATCTACAGTCTTCGGCTCCAGAAGGACTGCAGCCACTGGCCCAGCTGCTGCTCCAGCAAAGGGCAGGACCTCTGTGAGGAGTGGCTGAAGTGGAACACTGTGCCTGTGCCTCCCTCGGAGCCTGCTAGCCTCCCCCACCACCCAGAATCCTGCAGGGCCAGCGAAGATGGACCCCTCAACAGCAGGGCCATCTCCCCCTGGAGATATGAGTGAGTCTGCCGCTACTCCCAAATACCTGAATATGTTTTCCTGCATGTGCTGGTTAGGGTACCCGTGAGGGACGAGGGAAGTTCCAGCTTACTTTCCCATTTTGATCTCAGAGAGGTCTGTGTTTGAGTCCTAGCTCTGACTCTCACTGGCTGACCTTGAGTCAATTATTCGAGTTTTCAAGACTCAGGGTTTTTTTTTTTTTTTTTTTGACACCTGTAAAATGATATATTGTCCCATAGGCTAATGTGCAGATCAAATGAAATCATGTATGTAAAAGTCTGTATTTATGTTGGGTTTCTCCTTTTCTTTTTTATATATTTATTTGTTTTAACCACTAAACCACCAGTGATCTCCTTTTCTTTTTAAAAATCCCTATAATGGCCCATGTTTTTCTGAGTAAAATATTGGAATAGTGGCATGATACAGGCATGAAGCATCTCAATCCAAAGGATACTGCTCAGGCCATGAATGGGTTAGTTATAAGTATTCTAAGGGAGTGAAACCCTCAATTCTCGGGGACAGCTGACTGGCTGGAGTTCTGGACTGGTTGTCTTTAATCATGACTATGGTTACTGTGTTCTTTCACTCAGTGTGCCACATAAATATTATAGTTCTCTATTTGTGTCATGATGTGAAAAATACTAGGAAGTGCTGAAATATGGACAATGAAGGAAAATATTAAAAACTAGAGTCTTAGGGATTCCAGATATCGGACTTCACTTCTTCCATCTAGTTCTGTCTTAGCATTGGGTTTGGGGATGGATGGAGAGGTTCAGTGGTGGGGAAGGATCTAGGGTGGATAGTACAGGTCATGATGCTTTGGAGAAGTCTCAGAAACTGGCTGGGTCCCTGGGCCAAATTGGATGGCACAGGAGCTTCTTAGGGAAGGTTGGGTGCCAGAGGGTTAACTCAGCTGTCTTCCAGACCCCTTGCTGGGAGTCTGTGAATCCCTGAGGACCACTCAGGTGGCTTTCCCCAAAGTATGTTCTGTATAGCACTCATCCTATGAGCTGCTTTTCAGAAAAAAGTGATGCCAAGTAAACTTGGGAAAGACTGCTCTGTCTCCTGCCTTTTGGAGATTCATCCTGTCATCTGTACATTAAAGTCTGTAAGAAGTCTGTAGAAAATAAACCATTAAACTAGTGTTTCCCAAATTCATTTAAGCACCCAACCTTTTTCTTGCAGGGGATTTATTAGGGAACCCACTTTGGGATGTGCTGTGCTAGCTGAACCCGCTGGCCAGGCTGGTCTGTGTGAGGAATGGTCCTACAAGTTGGGGACTGTCTCCTGCCAGACTAACAGAGTCCCAGTCCTGTGGGCCATTTACTTTTCAGTGTTTTTCTTCTTTCTTTCTCTCTCTTTCCCTTTCCTTCCTTCCTTCTTTCCTTTCTTTCTTTTCTCTTTCCCATGAAATCCTTTCAGAATAAGTAGTCTTCCCATACACTCTTCCTTCCTTCCTTCTTTCCTTTTTTTCTTTTCTTTTATTTCTCTTTCCCATGAAATCCTTTCAGAATAAGTGAAGAAGTCTTCCCATGCACTCTTATGTGTGCTTATAATATAAGCTTCCACAGTGCCTGGAAAAATGTGAAGGGAACGGTTGAGGATAGCTTCCTCTGGGGAGTGGGACTGGTAGGGAGAGACTATTAGCTTTCACTCTTTATACTCTTTTATATTTGGACGTCAGAGTGGTTTATACTTTTGCAATCATGCTATAATAATAATAGAAAGAATGCCTAAAGGACAGGTGCGGTGGCTCATGCCTGTAATCCCAGCACTTTGGGAGGTTGAGGTGGGTGGATCACCTAAGGTCAGGAGTTCAAGACCAGCCTGGCTAACATGGTGAAACCCTATCTCTACTAAAGATACAAAAATTAGCCAGCACGGTGGCAGGCATCAGGAGAACCCAGGAGGAAGAAGTTGCAGTTGAGCCAAGATTGTGCCACTGCATTCCAGCCTGGGTGACTGTGAGACTCCGTCTTAAAAAGAGAAAAACACAGAAAGAAAGATGACCTGAAGTGTAATGACTACAATTAAGAGAACTCATGCTACAGCCCAGAGAGAAGCAGTGCTGGTCGATGGAGGCTAAGGCAGGAGCCTGCTCATCCTTCTCTTCCTCCCTCAGGGTCCCAGGACCAGTTGGAAAGCACTCTGTCACCTGCTAACCTCATTTACAGGGGGAAAATTAATCAAGAGAGGAGGGAGGTGACTTGTTCAAAGTTACCCAGCAAGTGGTTGCAGATCTGAGACAAGAGGCCAAGGCCCCAGATGCACCATTTCCTTCCTCTGTTACTCCCACGCCACCCCATCCTCTGCTTCTGGCCCATCTCTTCAGGGCCTGACAAGTGCCGCCCCCACAGGTTGGACAGAGACTTGAACCGGCTCCCCCAGGACCTGTACCACGCCCGCTGCCTGTGCCCACACTGCGTCAGCCTACAGACAGGCTCCCACATGGACCCCCAGGGCAACTCAGAGCTGCTCTACCACAACCAGACTGTCTTCTACCGGCGGCCGTGCCGTGGCGAGCAGGGCACCCACAAGGGCTACTGCCTGGAGCGCAGGCTGTACCGTGTTTCCTTGGCTTGTGTGTGTGTGCGGCCCCGTGTGATGGCCTAGCCGGACTGGTTGGAGGCTAGTCCCTTTTTGGGAAAACTGGAGCCAGGTGTACAACCACTTGCCACAAAGGGCCAGGACACACAGATACTTGGCCCCTGCAAAGGGCCATCTGGAGCAGAAGGATCCTGGGACAGGATGGGGGACTTTGGGGGAAACCTGCACTTTTGCACGTTTTGAAAAGAGCAGCTGCTGCTTAGGGCCGCTGGAAGCTGGTGTCCTGGCATTTTCTCTCAGGAAAGATTTTGATAGTTCTGCCCATTTCTGGAGGTCACCACTTCTGTCTCTTCCTCTCTTCCCATCTCCTGCTACCCTGGCCCAGCACAGGCACTTTCTGGATATTTTCCCCTTGCTGGAGGAGAGCTCCTCGTTTTATTTGCTGGTTTGTTTACCCATCACTCAGTGAGCATCTATTTTGGGTGCATTCTGGTATACTTACTAGTCTTTTGACATGGATGATTCTGAGGAGGAAGCTGTTATTGAATGTAGAGATTTATCCAAATAAATATCTATATTTTAAAATAGCCTAATCTGTCTTTGACATCCATGGTTCCTGAACACCTCTCGGTCTCCCAGCCTGTCCTTCTCCTTCCCACCACTGGCCCTCACCTCTGCCCACCCTGCCAGCTCTCTCTGCTCTCCAGAATTTCTGTTGCATTCTTCCGCCCTCTCCAGTCTCTGTCTCCCTGGCCCACCCCGAACATCAGGGTGGGGGCTAGGCCGCGCTTCCAGCATGTTGGAGAGACAGAGGCCCATTGAGGCATTGCGGCAGGCACACAGCGCCCCCTTGTCCCCCAACAATCCGCCTTTGTCCTCCAGTCCTGGCTGCTGCCGCTTGGTCCTGGGGGTGCTGCCTGGGCTGGGCTCCAGCTCCCATCCTTTCTAAAAGGAAATGGGAGAAAGGACCCACCAAAGAGGAGGGTTAAGGTTAGGGAAGGGGCACACAAATCTCTTCAGGCCTAGGTCCCTGGGTCCTCCCAGTCCTGCCCCTGTTCCTCTAGTCATGTCCCAGCTCCTCCCAGTTTCTTTTCAGACCTCCTCCTCTCCCCCTCCTTCTCCTCTGCTCCAGGCTGGGTTGGGCTCTGAGCAAGGGGAGGGTTTAGAGCCTCCTCCCTCTCTGCCCCTCCCCATGTGTCTCTAGGGGGCTGGTGCAGGCAGCAGCAGAGGCAGTCTGGGCAGCTGCGTGAGGGCCCATGTGGGCAAGGCCCCCAGTGGCCGCCTTCTCTCCCAGGGCCCTGTGGGCAGGCCTCCTGCTTCACTTGCAGGTTTCTTGAAGTGCCTTCTTGCTCCTGTCTGTTTCTCCATCCTGCCAGATATCTGTTTCTCTTGCTGGGCTGGTGGCAGGAGGGGGCCATGTTGGTGGGCCCCACAGAGATGCTCAGTGCTCGAGATCGCCGGGACCGGCCCCCTGAGGAGGGGGTAGCTGCAGAGCTCCAGGGCTTCGCGGTGGACAAGAACTTCCTCATCTCCCTCAAAGGCATCCTGCTGGAAACTGAGCTGGTAACAGCTACTTCCCCAACCTGGTGCCTCCATATCCCCGACCCCCAGCTCCTGGCCAGCCTTATGCCAGTCCCCAGCTCGTCCTTCAGCAGCCTCCCTCCCCGGGTCCTCTGGACACCTCTCCTGCCCCCAGTTGCCCCTTCTTCATCTCCTACTCTGCCTTCTTGCTGCCTCTCCACCCGGAGCTATTTATTTACATTGCAGGAGGATAAACTGCAGTTAGACAGGACAGCTTTTTGGGACATTGAGGGAGCATGAAACATAGGGATGGGACAGAGGCAATGCCAGCCTCTAACATGGCCACTTCTTAGCATGTCCAAGAAGCCTAACTATCAAAAAGGGCAGACTTCCTGCAGCTGCACTGTATCTGTGGCCTGCTGTCCAGGAACATCTCTTCTCAGGAAAGTATCTTCCCCTGGTTACTTAGCAAGACTGCAGTGTAAACTTAAGGCCTCTGCATGTATGTCACCCTATGTCACCAGAGCTCAAGGGACCCCCAGAGTCCACTGGGCAGCATCTGCCTTCTAAACCGTCTCTCTTGGCATAGAATCGAAGGCTCTGATCCTTGTCAGAGGGCTTTCAGGCATCTGGGAATGGGGAAAGCATGATGGGGCAGGGGTCGCCTCTTGGCCCCTGTGGGCACAACTCCAGGAACTGGCATTCACACTGTACCTGTGCTCCTGGGGGACACCATTCAGGTGAATTACTGTGAGATAGTGCTCCTGGGAGCCGTGTGGCTTGGCTAGACTGCTGGGGTTGCTGGGTGAGCAGAGTGGGAGGCCAGAGACTGCCCTCGATGGGCAAATGCCCTGCCATGGTGGCTCCTGACACCAGGGGAGAGGGAGATGTACTGGAGTCCTTCCTTCCCTCCAAGGACAGATGGTGGCTGCCAGCCTAGGGTAGCTCCCACAGAGGGGAAAGCAAAGGCCTGGCCCCTGCCTATGTCTCCTTCCTGGTAAGTTCCACGTGCTTGGTCCTGTAGGCCCTGACCTTCATCATCTTCATCTGCTTCACGGCCTCCATCTCTGCCTACATGGCTGCAGCGCTGCTGGAGTTCTTCATCACACTTGCCTTCCTCTTCCTCTACACCACCCAGTACTACCAGCGCTTCGACCGGCTTAACTGGCCCTGTTTGGTGAGGAACCCTGACCCCAGCCCAGTTTGGGGCCCTTCCTTCTCTTCTAAATGCTGTGTTTTTCTTTCCTTTCTAAGTTAGGGGAGGGATTAGAGCCTCCTTCCTCTCCCAAGCTTCTTTCCATCTCCACACCCCTGCTGGGCTTTGCCCCGTGCTGTGTCCTGCACTCAAAGGTGTGGTGTGCTTTGATCCACACCGATTTCATAGCTGCAGGGCCACACTGGTAATCAGGAAGACCATGTTCCATAAATTTGCTCTTCCACTCAGCAAAGGTCCAGCCCCACCCCTGGCCTGGCCTGATCCCCCTGGCTGGTGGGCTCCAGCCCCAGTGCCTGGCTTCTGGCCCTGATTGCTCTGGGTTCATCTGCTTCCACTTCCTGGGGAATAGTGTGAAGACTCTGTCTCTTGAACATCCTTCATATTGTGTGAGGAGTACCCCATGGAGGGGGTTCAGAAACCCTCAGGGTCAGGCTGCTGGCCAGCCTGGAAAAGCTCAGGGTAACACCCCCTGCCTTCTGAGATCCTGTTAACCCTGCACCCCTGGCCCCCAGGACTTCCTGCGCTGTGTCAGTGCCATCATCATCTTCCTGGTGGTCTCCTTTGCAGCTGTGACCTCCCGGGATGGAGCTGCCATTGCTGCTTTTGTGAGTTTAGCCCTGCAGGACTCCTCAGCCCCTCGGGAGCTCGGGCTAGTGCTTGCACACTTTCTGTGTCAGAAGCCACAGCCAGGGCCTGGGGTTCCAACTTGTATCTCCCCCCATACCTTAACCCAGTGGCCCGATGGCCTGTTTTGCCATCCCCACTGCTCCTTCCACAGGTTTTTGGCATCATCCTGGTTTCCGTCTTTGCCTATGATGCCTTCAAAATCTACCGGACTGAGATAGCACCGGGGGCCAGCCAGGGTGAGTGCCTGTTCTCTGAGAAGAGATGCCCTCCCCGACCCTAGCTACCCATCCTGATGTGGGTCCCTACCTGGCTCCATCTTCACAGGGGACCGGCAGTGACTCTGGGGCTACCTGGCTCCCAGGCCCAGCCAGCCAGAGGGGACAATGGAGCCTAGACACGTCTCCTTGGGATTCACTGGCCCCCAAGCCCACCAAACCCCATCCCAGCCTTACAGAGATGTCTGGCCGGAGCCACCACTGGGGACTTATCCATGGAGCCTGGTGCTCTGGGATGTGGCTCCTGATGAAGCTCTGGCCAGAGGAGGGAAACTTCTGGAGAGAGGGAGGAGGGAGGGAAGGAAGCTGGGTGCCTAAGTCGTTCCCAAATTAAAATATTCAAATCCTGCTGGTGAGTCTCTTTCTTCCCCAGAAATTAGGCAGGTCAGGAATGCCAAGGAGTACTGATGGAAGTGCTGCCGGAGCAGGTTGTGGCCCCTCTTTTGGACCAGGTCTGAGCAGTGAGGATGTGGGGGCTACCCAGAAGAAGCTGAAGACATCCTCCAACACAAAACTTCTACGCCACACTTCTGTGTACAAGACCATTTTGTGGTATGCCTGGTGGCTGGGCATCTGGAGTTCTGTGTCTGAGAAGGCACAGCCTTCCTGATGGCGCACACACCCACCACCACACCTGTTCCCACAGGTTAGCGGGCTGGAGGTGAGGCGCTTGCCTGGGGTGTGTGCAGAGCTCCCCCTGGTGGTGTGGGGAAGACTTGGTCCAGAGGATGCATGGAGAGGGCAGCTTGAGGCATCAGGGAAGGGAGAGATTTCCCAAAATGTGAATGTTGGGAGAGCCTGTGGATATCAGCTGGTCCAATGCCCTCATTTCACGTAAGAGAAAACAGGCTCAGCTAGGGGAGGTAAACTCATTTGTGACAGAGCTAGGGTTAGAACACAGCTCTTCTGATACCTAGTGCCTAGCGGGCGTTCCAGATACTGTACTGAGCCTCCTTGTAGCTCAGAAAAGAATGACCAACTCACTGTGGGTCCACCTTCCCAGCTTGCCAGCTCCTCAGCACACATTTCCTGAGCATTTTCCATGCACAGACGCTGTGCAGGGCGCCAGGGCCTCAGAGGTGACGGGGGGCCTGTCCCTGAGCATTCACAGGTTGGGAAAGAGACAAGCTGGTCAAGGGATCCCCACAGTGAACACTACGGGAAGGCTTAGGGGAGTCTGGAGCAGACACTGCCACAGCCGTGATTCAGCCCTGCTGGGCGGAGACAGACCAGTGTAGCCGGGATGTTCCTGCCAGCCTGAGGGGCCCAGCATGACCTGGCTGAGCAGCTCCATCCCAGCTAAGGGGCTATCTCCTCTCACTGATGCGTGTGTGTTCCTGCCCTGAAATACAATCCTTCCGCAGCGCTCCTTCCAGCTGCAGGCCCCAGCTCCCAAGTCCTGCCTGAGGCCTGAATCTTGAAGTCTGGTCACACTGCTCTGCTCCCTTGGTGGCAACCACTCCTCTCTCTTGGTCTTTTTCCTGCCTCCTGCTTCCTGTTCTCCTATCCTTCTGTCCTGGCTCTCCATCAAGGCTGGTAGTCACTCCTGGGCTAGAACCAACAGGATTTTGTGTTTCTCTGGTCACTGCTCACAGTTCTCAGGGCTTTACGCATAGTCCATTCTCAAAATCTCAGAGGAGGGATAGAAGAGGTCCCACTCAGGGAGTCAGGGAGATGGGGTTCCAGGTGAAGGTTAAGGAGGTGGTCAGCACAGCCTGGCTGCAAAGCCCAGTGGGGAGTTGGGATTTGGGTCAGGACTGGCCCTGTCCCACATGCAGCTGTGTGACCTAGGCCAGACTGTCTCCAGTAAGAGCTGAGAGAGAGCAGAAATGTGACCGCAGTATTTCCCTGTACCGGTACCTGTGCTGTTTGAGTCTGTATGAGAGCCAACATGAATGAGCAATGCCCGGGTTTGGTCCTCATGTCATATTGGTTTTGGCTCAGTGTTGGTTGGTCCCAGAGTCTAAGATGCCCTCATGGTGAGGTGCTGAACCACAAGAGGCGGGGGAGACCCCTGGGGACTCCCTGGAGATTACCTTCCTAGGGGCTGACTAGAATGGAATCTCTCCCATCTCCTTTCCCATACCTCAATTCTCAGCCAGCTCTGAGCCTTTTCTGGCATTGGTGGAAAATTCATTTCAGAAAGAATGGGTGTCCTAGGACATCTTTAACTGTTGCTGCCTCAGGGGTGGGGTAGGTGGAGAGTGGCTCTTCAGCTTCAGGACCAAAATGCTACCTCCTCCCATCTAGGACTGGCTCACCATTTTGATGCCATTGTCTTCCCCACTTTTGAAATTTCTCCCTCTCCACCCTTTTGTGGTTGACTGAGCAGAACTGGGACTCACAGCTGTCCACCTCAGGCAGGGCACCTCACTCCTCTGCACTTCGGTCTCCTTCCTTGTGAATATGGGATGCCTTGGCTCCTGCAGCTCTGATACAGGGGCTGGGGGCCTCCCTCCTCCAGGATGGACAGTTGGCAGGAAGGACACACTGGCTCAGGCAGAGTTTGGCACTCACATTTATTAGAGGTTGGCAAGAGTGAGGTTCCCAAGGCAGCATCACTCCTCATCGTGCATTTTTTGCTGCAAAAAGAATAGGAGGTGTGAGGGGGTAGCTGGCAGGAGGGAAAAGGGTGTGGGGACAAATTCCTGGGGCTTTTAGAGGCCTAAGGGAGATGCCCTTGGAGGGAGAGGCAGGGCCCCAGGGATCCTGGTGTCCTACGTTAGATGCACTTGTGATTTAGGGGGATAGAACTGGGGCTCTCTGTAGAAGTTCCAGTCAGTGGGGGGCTGTTTGGAGCAGGAGAGTGGATTCTCAGGTTATGGGAGCTGTGGGACTGCCTAAGTATAGGGTGCCCACTCTGAGGGGCACCCATGTCAGGGGACATGCTAATGTGGAAGTGACAGTGAAACCCAGGGGAAGGACCCACCTTGGCACCGATGTCTCGGCTCTTGGCTCGCAGCTTGTTGACCTGGGACTCAGCGATGTCTGCCCGCTCCTCCGCCTCATCCAGCTCGTGCTGCACCTTTCGGAACTTGGACAGGTTGGTGTTGGCCTGCTCCTCCTGCGGTGGGACAATGGGGATGGGTGAATGAGCTGAGATGGGCTTCGGGATTCTCAACCTCTCAGCCTGAGGTTCCAGCTCCCTGTCCCTGAGACACTCATGCCTCGGGCATATTCCCTTTCCAAGGGTATCTTGCACCCGCCTTGTACCCTCCTCAAACGTGTCCAGCATTTGGAGTCCTTCACAGCCATCCACTGCCCAAGACAAATACAGTTTTGCTGCACCTGTCCTGGCCCCTGGGTTTCTGAGCAGACATGCTCATCAGCAGCTCACATCCACCCAGACATCTTCCCCATTGCCCTATGCCTAGCTGGGTCCCCTTCCAGGCCTAATTCCATGGTCAACTTCCTGCCTTCAGCTTTGACTGCTCCTGTCCTGCGCTAGCATCTACACTGCCTTCTGTTGGATTACGGTGTCTGAAGCTTGTAGGTGGTGCCTTTGTTAACTCAGAACACCTGACACAGCTCTGAACATACCAGATGTGTAAAATTAATGTTTGAGAGTTAAAGTTTATAGCAAACTCTTTGTCTAGGCACCTCTGTGGGAGATGCTCATTGGTTCTCACACACAATAGGTATGTTGATGAGAAAGGAAAGAAAACCTTGAACTCACCGCCTCCTCGGCCTGGCGCTTGTAGGCCTTGACCTTCAGTTGCAACTTGTCCACCAGGTCCTGCAGACGCAGCAGATTCTTTTTGTCTTCCTCTGTCTGGGGGTGGGAGGGTGGAAGGGTGGGAGAAGCTAATTTGGAGGAGGAGCAAATGCAATCACCTTTCCCTCCTCCATCATTTTACTCTTCTTTTGCCTTTACTGCCCCTCCCTACAATGGTCCAGGTCAAAGAGATGGGGGGGAAGACTCTCCCACTCTATTGTAGGCCAAAGGGGTGATGCAAGGTTGTCAGTCAGGGATTCACAAAGCAATGAAGGCTGCAGTCTTAAAGCTAGAAGTTGGAGGAGAGGCTCAGACCCTAATGGAATTCCTTAATGTGGTAATAGAAAGGGACCAGGTCTGTTCCAGCTCCAATCTGGTGGATAAAGCTCCAACTTGGACCTACACAGGTGCTCTTGGCCAGCAGTTCTTGACCAGAGGAGGAATAATGAAGAATGCAGAAAGAAGGGGGTATTATCATAACCCAGATTATTCTACATTCTAATATATTGTATTGGACCAGAATTCAGGCCTCAGGATCACTGGCTCCAACGTCACGCCACCCTTCCTATCTGTTTATCATTGTATGTGCCAGGATGCCATTTCTACTTCTGCCCACAAATCACCCTGTGGTTCTGTATCTGTAATCTTTCTTGTGCCTCTGGCATCCATCTATTAAATGGAGTGACACCCTCATTTCCTCAGCCTTTTCTTCCCAGGGACGCTGAAAATAACAGGCCACAGGCACAGTTCTGAGCTATGCAGATGGAGGTCTCAGAACATTCTGGGGTCCTCTTTCTCTGTGGCCTTCTCTTTGGGTGCTAGAAGTTCCATGGAAGATTACCAAATATTTTTCCCTTGCCTGATTCTTATCCCCATAGTCCAAGGTGGAAAGATTCTTCGGACTCTTCATGGTAGCACTTAAAGTTATTTTTTTAAAAACCCAGGGAAAAGCTATTAGAAGAGTTTTCAGGAAGTAGAAATAGATTCTTCATTTTCTGGAAAAACTCATAAACTCAAACCAAACTGACTGCAGAGCGTGGAAAGAAGGTTAAATCTACCCACAGCGTCTTAAGGGGGAGGTGACAGGAGCCCTATGTGGGCCAGGCAAGCCACTTCCACATCTACTCTTGGCCTCTAGCGCCGCCGCACCTGGTAGGTGAGCTCCTTGATGCGCCGCTCGCTCTTCCTCATGCCCTTCACCGACTCCGCGTTGCGCTTCTGCTCGGCCTCCAGCTCATTCTCCAGCTCCCGCACCCGTGCCTCCAGCTTCTGCAGCTGCTTCTTGCCGCCCTTGAGCGCGATCTGCTCGGCCTCGTCCAGCCGGTGCTGCAGGTCCTTAATGGTCTGCTCCATGTTCTTCTTCATGCGCTCCAGGTGGGCGCTGGTATCCTGCTCCTTCTTCAGTTCCTCCGCCATCATGGCGGCCTGTGTGCAGGAGAGACGTGGCAAGGAACATGGGCCCAGGGCCAGGGCCTCTTCCCGCCAAGGATCTCCTCTCTCCCATCAGGCCCTCAAACCCACAGAACCTCAGAGTTGACCTGGCGTTACAGCACAGTGGCCTGGCCTGTACCCAGGGCTTTGTTTGCGTCTTTAGGGGAGGCGGAAGGTGGGCTATCACTCACATCCGTGATGGCCTTCTTGGCCTTCTCCTCTGCGTTCCTGCACTCCTGCACCGCCTCTTCCACCTCCGACTGGAGCTGGGTCAGATCCGACTCCATCTTCTTCTTCTGGTTGATGAGGCTGGTGTTCTAGACATGGAGAGAGAAAAATGATGAAATATATACTGTATTTTGTTACCTGATTTCATACCCTTTCTTCAGAGAGAATTAAAGGTGGTCGTTTTAAAAAAAAGCCCACTTTTAGAATATTCCTTGTTTTGTACCTGCTTTCCTTTTTCCTATGAAAATGGTTACATTCTAGACATTATATCCAAGATTACTAAACTCTGAAAAACTATTTCAAATAGTAAAATGTCTGCAGTATTACTCCAGAGCTCTTTAAGAAAATGTTTATGTAGGAGCATGACAATACTCCAAGGAAAATGGAAACAACATTTTACCAGGACAATATTCCAAGATGTTTATAGCTATAGCCAGAGTGTAGTGGGGTAAGGAAGAGGGGATGACATCAGCAGATGATATCATTGCCACACATACTAGATTAAAGAAAAAAACTCCACAGGGCACTGCAAAAGGCAGGCGCAAAGTCTCACTGCAGAGTATAACTGAAAACAGTGTGGGTGGGATTGCAGAAAAATAGTGTTCTATCCAGTTTGTTTTGCAAGAGATGCAGTTATGCCTATTTAAACTCCCAAACTCTCATCTTTACAGAGCAAGCTGGAGGCCGTCTTTTAGATCAAGAATATCAGCTAACAGGATACATTCCAGTACTCTTAGATTTTTGGCTTTGGCAGGCATCAGCAATTAATCATGACACTTAGCTTCTAAGTAGAGACCCCCTTTTCAAGATAATGGTTCTGCAGCCACCATGGATGAGAGTTGGCCTAAGAGAGGAAATGATTTGTGATCCTGGCTAGATGCTGGGGAGAAAGCTCACTAGAACATCTGGCTTCTCTAAATGTCCTGGGCTCTGCACTCCGCAGGTTTCCACAAGGTGGCTCCTGACCCCCTCACCTGGGAATGCAGCAGCTGCACCCGCTCACTGGTCTCAATCAGCTCCTGCTCAGCCAGCTTCCGAGACCGCTCGGTCTGCTCCACCACTGCACGCAGCTCCTCCAGCTCAGCCTGCAGCAGGTTGTTACGCCGCTCCACGATGGCGATGTTCTCTTTCAGGTCGTCGTTGGCGTGGACCGCATCATCCAGCTGGATCTGGGTGTCCTGTGGATCAGGACAGTGGGCATGAGTGGAAGAGCCGGTCTCGGTGCCCTTCACTGAGGGCACCTGTTGGAGGTCCCTGCAGTGACCCAGGGGCAGGAGGAATCGGGTGCCTGTGTCCAGATATTACCCCTTCTCCAGGCCATGTAGAGGCCAGTCCTCTCTGGGTGAGGGGACCTCCTGCCCCCGTGTACCTTCAGCAAGCTCTGGAGGCTCTTGACTTGCTTCTGGGCCTCAGCAGCCATGCGGTTGGCGTGGCTGAGCTGGATCTCCATCTCGTTGAGGTCTCCTTCCATCTTCTTCTTCACCCGCAGGGCCTCGTTGCGGCTGCGTGTCTCTGCGTCCAGGGAGGTCTGCAGAGAGTCCACCACCCGCTGGTGGTTGCGCTTGGCTTGTTCCATCTCCTCGTCCTTCTCTGCCAGCTTCCGCTCGATCTCTGCCTTGATCTGGTTGAACTCCAGCTGGGCCCGGAGGATCTTGCCCTCCTCGTGCTCCAGGGAGGCCTGGGAAGGGGTGGGGGAGGGGATGTGGGCAGACAGGGCACAGGACAGGGTGGGAAGGGAGGATGAGAAGATACAGGGTGTCAGCCAGGACTATGGCCCAGAGAAGAAGAGCTGAGAGGAGACGGGGAGGTGGGATCTGCACCCCATGCCCACCACAGTGCTGTTGGGGAGAAAGTGCTGGACTCCCTGGGCTTCCTCTGTCAAGGAAAGGGTTTGGACCTCACAATTGCCAGACCCTCCAGCACTAACACTGCATAAATTCCTGATCTGTCTAAAGTGTTATAGAAAAAGGAGGAATTTTTATAACCACAAATTCAAAATTTTAACTTTGTTTTCCAGGTCTCTCACCCTTTCCTGAGAAAAGTTAGAAGCTCAGAAAACTCAGGGCTGTTCCCAGGTGCTTAAAATTGAATAGTAACAATAGCTAATATAAAGTGCTTAAATGTGTTCCCTCATTTAATCTTTATAATAATCAAGTGTAAAATCGTATAAGGTATGTACAATTTCATTTTACAGATGAGAAAACGCAGGCAGAGAGAGATTAAAGATCTTGCCCAGTGACACAATGGAAGTCCTCAAGCTGTGTTCCAACTCAGGCCTGTGTGACTCTGGAGCCCACACTCCTACCCATTGTCTAAGTGGTTATTATCATGGTCAGATTCCAACTTTTAAAACCTGGTGGGAAACAAAACCTTTTGGCTTCTAATCAGACTGACATTTTCCTTTGGACAGACCTCAGCTTTGGATGTAGTCCTGGGTAGATAGTGGGTAGATGACTTTGAACAGAGAATATGGAGCAAACAGATTTTGCCTTGGGGTCAGGGTCACCTCCAGTTGAGGGAGAAGTGGGAGGGAATGGCTGACTGCGGATGGGGTGCAGGAACTCTCAGCCCTCACCTCCGCCTCCTCCAGGGCTGACTGTAGCTCCAGCTTCTCCACCTCCAGCTGTTTGCGGACCTTCTCCAGCTCATGCACATTCTTTCCTCCTTCTCCCAGCTGCTCAGTAAGGTCCGAGATTTCCTCTGGGAAGCAGAGGGCCAGAAAGCTCAAAGCCTGTGTTCCCTCTGCCCCAGCATGGCCCTCCCTCCTACCAGCCCATCTGTGGCCTCTTGAGCCCCCAGCACACCCTGAAGGTTCTTGTTCTCCCGCTTGAAGGTCTCCAGGTGCTCCAGGGACTCCTCGTAGGCGTTCTTGAGCTTGAAGAGCTCGGTGCTGAGGGAGCGCGCCTCCTTCTGCGACGACTCCAGCTCCGACTGTGACTCCTCATACTTCTGCTTCCACTCAGCCAGGATCTGTCCGGGGAAGAGACTCACTCTTCAGCCCCCCAGCCTCAGCCCCCTGGCCCTCCTGCTTCCCAGCGCCCCAACCCCTAGCCTCAGCCCCATATCCAAGGTCTGTCCCTTGCTCCCAGTCTGGACTCAGGCCTCCTCTCCCACCTCCAAGGAGGACAGCTCTGGCCTTGCCCTGAAGCCCTCACACTACCCACGGCCCACCCGTCGGCTGGCTGTGGCCCCCACCCATGGCCCACCTTGTCGAAGTTCCTCTGCTTCTTGTCCAGGGCTGCAGCAGCCGCATTGGAGCGCTCCACGTCCACCATCAGGTCCTCAATCTCATTCTGTAGCCGGTGCTTGGTCTTCTCCAGCGAGGAGCACTTGGCATTAACGGCCTCCACGGCCTCCTCAGCGTCCTGCAGCCGCTGGGCCAGCTTCTTCCTGCCCAGGTGAGGGTGGAGGGTGTGTGTGTGATTCCACTGGGCAACAGTGGAGCTTTGGGTGGACCTCCTCCCACTCCCTCCCTGTATCTCCTTAAGATACCATAAGTCCAGCCTAGAGGGAGCTGAGCCTGCTGGCACCTGGAACAGAGTCCACCAGCATGGGCTGCCCGGGCATCCTTCCTACCTGCAGTGGCATCTGGGTATCAGTGGCCCCTGCCCTCGCCCCCCACACAGGCTGATCGACGGTAGCTCCTCTGACCAACAAGCTTTTTGCTCGTCTTATACGTGAGCATCAGGTATAACCCGGGCCAAAAGCTCGCCCGTCACAGGAAGTGGGTCAGGGCCAGCCAGGTTCACAGAGCAAAGGATCCAGGCTTTCTTCCAAGCACCTCTGTTGCTCTCTGAGTTCCTCCTGTCTCTCTCAGCTCCCTCCCATGATCACTCTGCCTGTCCCCACCCCAGGTCCTCTTGCTCCTTCCTCTCTCAGAGCCAGGTTAAGGGGGCATCTGGAGCTCACTTGGCCTCCTCGAGCTCCTCAGTCCGCTGGATGGCGTCCGTCTCATACTTGGTCCTCCACTGGGCCACCTCCGAGTTGGCCTTGGACAGGACACGCTGCAGCTCGGCCTTGGCCTCAGTCTCCTCCTCATACTGCTCTCGCAGCAGGTCGCAGTCGTGCCGGGCCGACTGCAGTGCATGGGCCAGGGCGTTCTTCGCCTGGGGAGGGGTGGGCACCAGGAGGTAGGAGGGACTCCCTGTGCCCCATTCTCCAGATCCTTCTCTTGTAGTACTTCATCCAAGCCCAGCCTTATTCAGCATGTGGGCTGATGTGGAAACTGTCTGAGGAGTTTCCCAGTTTGCCCACCCCCATCCTCTTATAAATAGGAAAAGAGGCATTAGATGATGCTTAGCTGCAGGACAGAAGCTAGACTGGAGGCCCTTTCCCTTGCAGAGGACTCTCCCCAGCCCCAGGCTCCATTTTTGGTATTGAGGTGAATGCCCCAGGGCTGCCGTCAAGCCCGCCCACCCTCCTGCCTGGGCCTCACCTTGCCCTCCTCCTCCAGCTGCCTTTTGAGGTCCTCCATTTGCTGGGTATAGGAGAGCTTCCCCCGGGTCAGCTGTGAGATTAGTGCCTCCTTTTCTTCTAGTTGCCGGGCCAACTCTCCTGGAGGTAAAATGAGGGGCTTGTGGGCCATTCCACAAGTCATGTCCTACTCTAGGCAGGCAGGACTGATTAGGGGCACCCACCATTCTCAGTCTGCAGCTTGGCTCGCTGGGTAGTGAAGTCGTTGAGGGAGCGTTGGGCCTCTTCTAGCTTCACGCGGTACTCATTGGCCTGGTCCTCCAGCGTCCGAGACACTTTCTCCAGGTTTGCCTTCAGGAAGCAAAGGACAGGAAGGTTGAGTGTGGGAGAGGCTGAGTTGAGCAGAGGAAGGAAGACAGGGTCAGAGATGGGGAACACCAGAGGGCAGGAGGGGGACACGGAAGGTGTGGGATGGCGCAGTCTGAAGAGGGACTTGAATTAAAGATGGGAGGAAGATGGAGATAAAGATGTAGAGGAGAGCCAGCGAGGAGGCAGAGGAGAGAGGAAGAGAGACCAAAGGGTGACAAGGGGAATGAAAATGACAAAGGAGATGGCAGACAGAGACAGAAGGTGTGGGGGAGGCTCCGCTGTGCAGGGGAGAGGTCAAGGAGAGGCTGAGCAGAGCCTGCCTTGGCCTTGATGATATGCTCCATGTTGGAGGTGACGTCGTCCAGCTCCAGCTTGAACTCGCTCTTCTCCTTCTCCAGCTTCTGCTTCACCCGCTGCAGGTTGTCAATCTGCTCGCTCAGCTCGGCCACGCTGTCTGCGTGCTTCTTGCGCAGGGCCGCGGCAGTGGCCTCATGCTGCAGCGTGGCCTCCTCCAGGTCCCGCCGCATCTTCTGGAACTCAGCCTCACGCTTCTTGTTCATCTCAATCTGCACTGATGTGGCTCCGCCAGCCTCTTCCAGCCGCTCGCTGATCTCTTCCAGCTCCCGGGACAGGTCTGAGCGCAGCTTCTCCACCTTGGCCCTGGCGGTGCGCTCAGCCTCCAGCTCCTCCTCCAGCTCCTCAATTCGTGCCTGGGCCAGACACAAAGGGCTCAGACCCACCTCCTGGACCCCTCTACTGGAATCCCCCTGGGCTCTAAAAGGCTACCAGGCACTCAGGTACCTCTTGAGTAGTGGTTCTCAACTAGGGGCAATTTTGTGCCCCAGGGAATTGTTGGCAATGTCTGATTGTCATGATTTGGTGGGGCTTGCTACTGGCATCTAGAGGGTAGAGGCTAGGGATGGTGCTAAACATTCTATAATGCATAGGCCATCAATGAATTTGGTTGAAGCCAAATCTTCAAGGCATTTCCTGAGGGCATCTCAGGCCCAGTCTGAGCATCTACAGCCCTGGATCCTGAGAATCTGTTTTGAGGGAGATCCTGGGATCCTGTTAGATCAAGAATTTCAGAGTCTCCAGATTCACTAGGCTGTGTTCCATCCATAAGACAGGAAAGTGAATACTTGTATTTTACAAATATTTGCAACAATATGCCTCGAAACTATCAAATATCTTTGCAATTCTCCAAGTTAACCACAGTCCCAATTAGCCATATTCCTCACTCTCCAGGGCTTCCTGTGTTTATTCCCAGGGCTGGGTTTCAACATGATTGCCCTCTTTCAGACCAGGAAAGTGCTAGCAGGATGCTCTCCTGTTCACATCATCTCATCCTCTTCAAATGCTCCTGCCTCACTTTTCTGGTCTTAGCCTTGGTCTTGACTAAATTGTAAGAATATCCTATCTATCATTTTGATCTGTTGTCTGGTTAGTCAGGAACAAAGTGGGGGTTCAGTGGCGATCCCTTCTCCTGGGGTTATGGACAGCTTTAATGGACTGTTCATGGATGGGTCCTAGGAGCAGAAGAGAGGACCACCATGCCTCTGCTCCTAGGATGGAGAAGGTGGGACTTCTGAACAAGATTTTGGGCATGAAGGAGGAGCCACAGCCTCTTGCCAATACCTCATGAGATTTATGGGACTGTTATCCTGGGTCCAAGAAGCCAAATAAGTTTCCCAGACCCCGGGTAGAAGAGGCTGAGGATGGCCCAGTGGTCTATCTAAAATCCAGAAGGGGCATCCAAAAAGATAGGAAGGCAAATTGTTACTGAAGTCAGGCCAGTCCCTGTGCAGCCCCAGAGGAGTGGAATTGTGTTCATACATTACTTGCAGCCTGGGCCATGGGCCTCAAGTGCAGAGGGGAGACTACCTCTTTCTACCAACCACAGTCTGCCCCAAAATGAGAGGACAAGGTCTTGCCCCAGTAGCTGAGTTCCTGTTGCCCTTGGGGTCACTATATCCAGAACTGGCCATGTAGCTTCTGTAGCTATAAAATGGGGATGGCAGTCCTTGCCTTGTGGACTTCCAAAGGTCTTCTGACAAACCCAATACTAAAAGCATATTGACGTCTGAGTTTCATTAAAGCTAAGAGAGACTATAGCTGTTCACTCAATCCTGACCTGAGAGGAATGAGAAGGCTATGGAGAAGACACAACAATACCTCCTTAGGCTAGTGGCTGGTTGACTTCTCTCAACTGGGCTATATTAAAATGACACTTACATAGTGTTTCCTAGTTGACAAAGTGGTTTCAAATACATTATCTCCTCTGATCCTGTGTGATAGGTATTGTCAGTCGCATTTTATAGGAGAGATGAGAATCTGAGGATCAGGGAGGGTAAGCGATTTGCTCAATGTTACAGGAATTGGCTCCTATCATGAGTGCCCTATGGGGAGTCAGCCTGGATTAGTGGCTGGGGTTAGTACCAGGAAGAATATGAATAGAGCAGCTCACAGGAAGGTGCTCCTTGAAGGTTTTTTTCTGCCCCCTGCCCCCATTCAGAGGGCAGAACTACTAGAGCAAGGGTTAGAGGAGAATAGAGCCCTATCACTTGTATTAGAGCAGAAACTCCATGAGGCAGAGCAGATCTCAGAAGGCGAAGCCCTTTAGTAGGTATGACTCTCCCTTCTCAAATAGTGTTTCTCACATAATGTATTCTTGCTCTACGGGGGAAAGCTGGTGTTCCTGAGTGCCTGTAAGTCAGGGATGGTTGGGTCTATGAGGCTGCCTGGAGTTCCAGATATTGTGTAGAACTCTAAGCAGCTGCTGTAGTCTCAGTCAACTCAGGGCTATTGAGCTTCCACTTTCCTGCACTAGGAAGAATGTTACCTGGTTTTCCTTCAGTTTCTTTTGCAGCTGAAGGGCCAGTGCCTGTTCATCCTCTATCTTACTGTTCAGCTGATTAATGTCAAACTCCTTCCTGCAGGAGAAGGGTGGGGGTGGGGAAGGGACAAGTGGTCTTCCTTCTTCTGGGGCTCATTCTCTTCTTGGCCTCAGCATGCCAGAATCAGCATGTCCCCATCCTCCCACCAGCCCAGAGAGTGGAGGAAGAGGGCTCTAATTGACCTTATTCCCAGTGTGCCCACGGCAACTGTGGGCAGTGGGGGTGCAGCACCCTGCACTCTATCCACCAGACCAGATGCCTCCATTAGCCCCTCCTGGCTACCACAGTCTCCCCCTGCACTCTATCCACCAGACCAGACACCTCCATTAGCCCCTCCTGGCTACCACAGTCTCCCCCTGCACTCTATCCACCAGACCAGATGCCTCCATTAGCCCCTCCTGGCTACCATCGTCTCCTACTTTTTGAGCTTTTCGTCCAGCTGCAGTTTGTCATTCTCCAGGTCCATGATGCTCTCCTGGGTCAGCTTTAGGTCACCCTCCAGTTTCCGCTTTGCTCGCTCCAGGTCCATGCGCACCTTCTTCTCTTGCTCCAGGGATCCTTCCAGCTGAAAAAAGAAAAAAAGCAATGTGTGGAATACATAAAATCCATAGAGCATGCTCTTTTGTCTCCTTCCAAACTTGAAGTCCAGTGGGATTGGAAGTCAAACCAGTAGAGAAATCCTGCAAGCACAAAGGATTCAGAGACCTACCCTAGTGTAGAGCAAAAAAGCTCCAAGTTGCCTGCAAAATCTTGCTCTGAGAGAGGGAACAGAGTTCTTACTACTCACATCATCCACCTGCTGCTCCAGCTTGACCTTAGACTTGGACAGGCTGTTGACCTTGTCCTCCTCGGCCTGAAGGTCATCCAGGGCCTGCTGGTGGGCCTCTTGTAGAGCTTTCTTCTCCTTAGTTAGCTTGGCAATGATCTCATCCAGCCCAGCCATCTCCTCTGTTAGGTTCTTCACCTGCCGACCAAGAACCCGTCTCCTTTAGGGTCAAAGATCACCAGCTTGGAGACATCTATGGGGAGCTCCATGCCAAGGACCAGGACTACATTTTGGTCTGGGAGTCTTGAGGAGATCTGGGCTGGAGCCACACGGAGCTGCCCTCACCTTGTTCTCTGTTGCGTGCTTCTCCTTCTCCACCTTGGCCAGTGTCAGCTCCAGGTCATCGATGTCTTTCTTGAGCTCTGAGCACTCGTCTTCCAGCTTGCGCTTCTTGGCGGTGAGCTCAGCGTTCATCTCTTCCTCGTCTTCCAGCCTCTCATTCATCTCCTTCACTTTGGCTTCCAGCTGAATCTTGTTTTTGATCAGCTGGTCGCAGCGCTCCTCAGCGTCATTGAGGTTGTCTTGTTCCTGGGAGAAGAGAACAGGGAGGAAGTTGATGGTTAGAGAGGAGACCTAGGGTCTTAAAAAGAGCTGGTACTCCTGGACTCCCAGCCCCTGGTTATGAGATGGGCTATAATCTAGGGGAGGGGAGAGGAGGGCTGAAGAGATTATCATGTGGCCTCACCGCCTGCACTTGGAGCTGCAGGTCGTTCTTCTCCTGCAGCAGGGACACCATCTTCTCCTCCAGCTCCTTGCGGCGAGCCTCGGACTTCTCCAGCGTCTCTTTGACGCGCCCGAACTCCTCCTTCATGGTGGCCATCTCCTTCTCCGTCTCTGCGCTCTTCAGCAGCGGCTTGATCTTGAAGTAGAGCTTCATCCAGGGCCAATTCTTGACCCCCATGAAGGCTCGAATGTTCCACTGGATTACTAGCAGGGCATCCCTGACGAGGAGACAGGGTGGAGCACTATGAAACAGCGCTTCCCAATCATGGGCCCGACTAAGCCAGTTTGTAGGCACATAGCCTTCCTTCCTGTGCACGCCCACCCCCAACATCACTACAATGAACACGGAGTTGCTTGATAAATATTTATTAATCAATTTAATGAAAGGGCAGTTTCTATCCTTCCAGCTGGGATATTAGTGATAATGGACACTACCACTTACAGAGTGTCTACTCTGTTCAGTTTTTTATTCTCATAAGAACTTCAAATATGTTAAAAATTATGTAGGACTTTACATATAAGAATACCTTTAATACGTATGTAAGTTATGAAGCATGAAAGCAAAATGACTATCCATGAACCCACCACCCAAACACTTCAGTGTTACCAGCCATTGATCTACCAATGACTTCCTTCCTACACCCGTTACTGCACCAGAAGCAGCTGCTATTCTGAGTCTTATTTTTCCTTTCCTTGCTTTTTCAAAAATGACTTTAACCACATATGTATGTATCTTTAGTTTATTTATTTTTGAGATGGAGTTTCACTCTTGTTGCCCAGGCTGGAGTGCAATGGCATGATCTCAGCTCACTGCAACCTCCATGTCCTGGGTTCAAGCGATTCTCCTGAGCCTCAGCCTCCTTGGTAGGTGGAATTCCAAGTGCCTGCCACCATGCCCAGTTAATTTTTGTATTTTTAATAGAGACAGGGTTTCACCATGTTGGCCAGGCTGGTCTTCAACTCCTGAACTCAGGTGATCCGCCTGCCTCAGCCTCCCAAAGTGCTGGGGTTACAGGCATGAGCCACCATGCCCAGCCATAGGCATGTATCTTTAAACAATAAATGGCTTTTTGATATTTATGAGCTTTATAAAAATTGCATCATACTATATGTATCCTTCCAATATTTGTTTTTGTTTACTAACGATATGCTTTAATGTTCAAACATATTGTACCATATAATTGGAGTTCACTTCTTTTCACTGTTTTATAATGTTCTACTGAATGACTATAATACTATTTACCCACTCCCCTGTGGATGGAAATTCAAGTTGTTTTAAGATTTTTGCTATTATGACCAGTTCTGCTAAAAAGATTATTTTTCGGCCGGGCGCGGTGGCTCACGCCTGTAATCCCAGCACTTTGGGAGGCTGAGGCGGGTGGATCACGAGGTCAAGAGATCGAGACCATCCTGGTCAACATGGTGAAACCCCGTCTCTACTAAAGATACAAAAAATTAGCTGGGCATGGTGGCGCATGCCTGTAATCCCAGCTACTCGGGAGGCTGAGGCAGGAGAATTGCCTGAACCCAGGAGGCGGAGATTGCGGTGAGCCGAGATCATGCCATTGCACTCCAGCCTGGGTAATAAGAGTGAAACTCCGTCTCAAAAAAAAAAAAAGAAAAAGATTATTTTTCGTGTCATGGTGTACATGTATAAAAGTTTCTCTGTAGGAATGTACTCAGGAGTGGAATGGAAAAGTATGCAGCCGTTCAACTTTAAGAGATAGTGATAAACTGTTTTCCTAGGAAGTTGCACTAATTTACACATCTGTAAGCAGTGGGTTAAGCTTCTTAATTTTTGTCAGTCTAGTGGTTTAAAAATTTTTTTATGTTATCTTTTATTTTTGTGTACTTTTTTCATTTTTTAAAGTTTGTAGACCATTTGAGCAAGCAAAGTCTAATTTTAAAATGGTATCTCATTGGCATCTTAATTTGCATTTTCCTATATTGAATTTTCTTTAAAAAAAAAAAAGGATTTGCAGTGAGATTCCAAGTGGTAAAGTAAGCTTGCCCAGGCCAGCTCATAGGTCCAAACCCAGGTCTTCTGACCCACACTAGTTGACACTGAGGATCTGCCTCTTACATCTCTGGTGCACCCCTCCCTTTTCCTCCTGGCTCACCTGCGTTCCACTATCTTCTTGAACTCAATGCGCATGAGTTGGCCTCGGGCTTGGGCCTGCATGCGTGTGAGGATGCGGCTCAGCCTCTCATCCCGCATCTCCTCCAGCAGCCCCAGAAGCCCTGCCTTGAAGAACACCTGCAGGTAAGGGGCAGATGCAAGGGGACACAGCCTCAGAGGGGGTTTTCCAGGGTGGAAGGAGAGGGTGGAAGACCCTGGATGAGCCCCCAGGTAACCCATCACCCCAGCCTTCTAGAAGTGAGAGTAAAGATTTGACAAGACTGGAATAAAGCCTGGGTTTCAACCCTTGGTATGGTTAGTAAGGAAGCCAGAATTAGGGATCTGCCTTCTGAACTCCTCTCTGCTTCACTCAACATGGCCACCTACCCTGCAACCACCCAAAAGGGCTCTAGACTCACCTTCGTGTGGCCAAACTTGTACTGGTTGTGGTCGATGTCCAGGGAGCTCAGCAACTTCTCTGACCCCTTCCTGCTGTCAATGAACTGTCCCTCAGGGATGGCCGCTGGGTTCAGGATGCGATACCTGAGGAGGGAAGTGTCCAGAGTCAGTCAAGCTCTGCACTGATCTTCTCTGCCCACAGAGTTCCAGGGCCACCTGCAGACTCCCATTCATACCAGGGCAGCCCTGGCTCCCCCTGTTCTCTGAGCCCTGGGCTGCCCTCATACCCACCTCTGCCGGAAGTCCCCATAGAGGATGCGGTTGGGGAAGCCCTTTCTGCAGATGCGGATGCCCTCCAGCACGCCATTGCAGCGCAGCTGGTGCATGACCAGGGGGTTGTCCATCACCCCTGTGCCAGGAGGGAAGGGGAAAGGGTCAGCCTTAGGGTAAGTGGATGCCAGGCGTCCTCACCAGACTAAAGCCTTCTCCTGCCTCACCTGGAGCCTTCCGCTCATTGGGGATGATGCAGCGCACAAAGTGAGGATGGGTGGTCCTCAAGTTGGTCATCAGCTTGTTCAGATTTTCCTGGAGGCAGATGAAGGTGGGGAGTTAGGAGCCACAAGGACGATCCCTTAGGCCCTTAAGCCCTGGTCCCCAGACACTCTCCACCAGAATCATTAAATGGACAGAGGCTGACATGTAATTTATGACGTGAATTCAGGCTTGTGTGGAATCTACACACCAAAAACGACCGCTTAGCTCTAGCTTCTTTCCTTATCAAACTCAAGCACCAGAATAGGTGGTGCAGCCAGAAGAATCTGGGCTGGGCTGTTCCACCAGGTGTCCTGGCACCCCTGGGCCCTTCTTACCCGGTGAAGAGCTGACACTGTCTGGAAGGATGAGCCCTTTTTCTTGCCTCCTTTGCTTTTACCACTGTCGCCTAAATAACAAGAGGAGGAACAATGAACAGGAGCTGGAAAATAGAGGCACCCTCGGGCAGAGGCAGAGCTCTGCTGATTACTTGGTAGCTCTGAGACTTTGGGTAAGGAGTTTTCCAAGATTCAGTTTACCATGAGGATGACAGTAGCAACCTCCCAAAGCTGTAGAGAGGGTTAGATAAGACCGCATCTGTAGGGCAGCTCACTGGTGCTTGCCCATAGTAGGCACTGACATACATCAGTGCTCGTAGCCCTCCCTCTTCTAGCCCCGCCCTTCCTTCTTATATCTTTCCATGTTCTACTTTTCTTCTTACACTTTATCCTCTTCCTTTCGAGCCACATCCTTTCTCTTCCTTCTCTGAACTGGAGGATCCTTTGTTCAATATTCTCTCAACATTTGTTAAGAACTCCCCCATGCATTGCTCCCTGCTGGGCACAGTACAGGGATGCATGCACTACCCTCACTGACCTCCAGTTACTCCCAATCTTGAGGAAACTCGAGACAGCTACAGCAAAACTACAGGTGCTATGAAGAGGCCCAGATGGACTGCAGTGAGGTGAGCCAGGAGGTGGCTTGACTCACAGGCTCCCCTGTGTCTGTGTCTGGAGTCATGTGCTTTGAAGCAGCAGGACCCTGGCTCTGGAAGGCCCCTAGCCCAGTGCAGGGGCTGCCCACTTACCAGAATCGGCAGATGCGTAGGTGGAGAAGAGAGTGGCCATGAGTTTGAGGGAAGACTTCTGGTACAAGGCCACGACGGTCTCATTGAGAGGATCCTTGTTTTTTTCCAGCCAACCCAGGATGTTGTAGTCCACGGTGCCGGCGTAGTGGATCAGGGAGAAGTGGGCTTCCTGCTTCCCCTTGATGTTGCGTGGCTTCTGGAAATTGTTGGACTTGCCCAGGTGGTTGTCATACAGCTTGGCCTTGAAGGTCATGTCGGTGGCCTTGGGGAACATGCACTCCTCCTCCAGGATTGACATGATGCCCATAGGCTGAGGGCAGGGTGAAGAGGCAGCAAGAGAGTCACTGAGCACACTCCTGGGCTTCCACAGTCCCACACCCCAACAGGAAAAGGACTCTAGAGCCAGTAGCGCTGGCCCGCTGATAGGGGCCTGTGCTGGTCCCTCTTGCCCCAAAACAGGGAGCCAGTTCTTCCCTCTTTCTGCCCAGTGGATCCAACACAGAGCACTCCTAATCACCCCCGCAAGACCCACAGTGTCTCACAGCACAGCCCCTTCTCCTTGACTGCTCACTGCCCCAGAGGCAGCAAGGCAGGGACAGATGTGCATCAGAGGTTCTGAGCCAGACCCTGTCTATATGACACAGGTAGCAATTATTTTTTTTTTATTTTTATTTTTTGAGACGGAGTTTCACTCTTGTTACCCAGGCTGGAGTGCAATGGCACGATCTCGGCTCACTGCAACCTCCGCCTCCTGGGTTCGGGCAATTCTCCTGCCTCAGCCTCCCAAGTAGCTGGGATTACAGGCACGCGCCACCATGCCCAGCTAATTTTTTGTATTTTTAGTAGAGACGGGGTTTCACCATGTTGACCAGGATGGTCTCGATCTCTTGACCTCGTGATCCACCTGCCTTGGCCTCCCAAAGTGCTGGGATTACAGGCTTGAGCCACCGCGCCCGGCCCAGGTAGCAATTATTTAGGGAATGGACGGAAAGATTCAGGTTCTTCACAGCCCTGTACACTTGCAAAAATGGGGTGGTTCTTGACTTTTCTTGGGGCAGGAATCCTTTTGAGAATTTGTTGAAGCCAGACTGTCTCTCCAGAAAAATGCCTGCACACACAAACACATGTACACACACACACACATGCACACACATGTATGTATGAATGTACACATGCTTTCACACACAGTTTTATGGGATTCTAAGGGCTCTGAAAGATGAGACTCTGGTTAAGAATATGGGTAATGACCCAAAGTGTGTGGGGAAGC